AATCTCCCTACCCATTAGTGATATATTATTTCGGAGTCTGAAATGTAAATTAAACATTTTAAAATCATCTTAAAATTAGAATAGTAATACCTCACTAAGAAGGTAGATGAATTGTGTTGAATGCCTTGAATCGGACCCGCTACAAACAGAAAGGACGGGGGTCTCGCTGCCCGGTCAGCGAGTCGGGGGGTCCAGGGGGCGACGCGCCCCCTGGCCTGGGGGTCCGGGGGGCGCAGACGCCCCCGGCCCGACGGTATACAATGTTGTTGTATTGGGCCCTTAATTTTCTGTTGATCCTGTATGTTGGGCCCAAGCCTTTTAGGGCGTAGCTTAGCACTATATATAGAAGCTATGTCAAACCCTATTCTGTAATTCTGTTTTTTGCCTCTCCATAATAAAACTGCTCCCTCTCTTCCCGTGGACGTAGCCAATTTATTGGTGAACCACGTAAATCTGTTGTCTTGTTTTTCGCGTTTATATTTTCTCGTATTATCTCAAATTCCGCACAACAAATTGCTTAGCCAACACTATCTTGACCTTAACTTCTTTTGTTTTCTATTTAAAATCTTGTTCGTAAGCAACCAGATCATTTATATGCAACAAGACAAGAGTATACAGGTCCGCCATGGAAAATAAGAGCTTGTCGAATTATCATTCTTTACTTCCTGGGTCAATGAATTGGTAGTGTTGGAATGTATGCGTCCACTATCAGTCAACGGACCAGGTCCTTTTACTCAGCAAGAACAGTAGCTAAAAGTAAAAGTGTCGAAAATAAATAGCACAATGTAAAACATGCACAAGAATTTTACGTGGAAGCCTCCTTACTCAAGGGAGTAAAACCACGACCTATCACAACAGGATTTTCCAACTTCTTTCACTAATTCTTCTCAAGCAAAAGTGAAACACATATTACAACCACAACAGTGAGATTAACACCCTAATCCCTACTAAGTAATACTCCTATTACTTAAACGAACCAAAGCAATAATCCTTATGCCCACTAAACCATTTAACTTTAGTTGATCTTGACTTTAAGAACCCCCAAGGCTAACTCTAGCCACCAACTCCGATCCCCAAGACACGAGCTTAAACGAGCAGCAACTCTGCCCACCACTCATAAATAAGTAACTCTAGTTGACACTCCTAAGAAACTCTACCGAAGAGAACACAAACACAATGGTGTAAAAGGCTTCACCACTTCATTTTTGAAAACAATTGCAAATGTTCCTTTTTTTTTTTTTTTGAAATATTACAACCAAAATCCACTTGTCTAGTAATACTGTCTAAAGCAGATTAAGAACATCTGTTTAAAACAAGTCTTCAATATAAAAGTGCAGCAAATCAGAACATCTGATTTTTGAACAGATCACACAGATTAAAAGTGCCTTAATCATCAATGGCGAGGGCCTAAACTGCGCCATTCTCCATCACCAAAGTAAGATGAGGGGGAAAAGGGAGGTAACTGAGCTGAAGCCTCCCCTGCAGCTGCATAACCGGACATTCCGGTTTGAGCAGTTGGTGCTATCCCAGCATCAGAAGTTGGTTCCATCCCGACATCAAAAATCAAATTGAAATCATTGTCTTCATCCATTGGTTGACTGAGTAATGCTTCAAGTTCACTCCCGACTCTAGAGATAGAATGACCTGAAGTTCCACTGCTAGCATCAACATTCACAAAAGCATTTTCGCCTCCGACTACTGTTGTCATCTGCTCAGCATTGGTGCTTTCTGGATAACACATGCTCTCAGTGCTAGTGTTCGGCACTGCTTGTGATCCCTCGCAAGCAGGGTCAATCATGTCCGCGGTGATAGGAACTTCGGAAGTACCACCTAATTCAGTATCCACGCCAGTTATATCAAGAACACTTGGTTTTGCTCTTCTTCTTCTGTTCCCTTTCTTGTTGGCTTCAACGCGCTTGAAATACTTCTGCGCATGGGAAGCCACTTGCATTGCGGTTCTTGTTATCACACAGTGCCTAGATATACTTCTCCAGTCACCTTTTCCATATATATCTAAGCCTCGGAGAAATGACCTATAGAAGGAAAGATAGATAAATAATTATTATCCCGAAAAAAACATTAAAACATAAAAATGACCAACCTGTGTTCCTCTTCTGTCCAAGCAGCCCCTCTTCGCCATTGAACATCTGCGTTTATATTTTGGTTGACATTGCTTTGAATTTCTGCATAATTAGGTAATGGAGCGCCTCCAAAATCAATGGCATCGATATCTTCTAAGAGTATATTATAGTGATCCTTGATCTCATCAACTGTTTTTCCAGGAAGTGCTTCTTCCATCTTCCTGAGTAGATTGTTATCGTTAAAGTGTATCCCTAGGATATTCTCAAAGATCTTGTCCTCCTCCTGACTCCAAAAGGAGCTATTCCAGGTCCGATCAGTGCTCATTTTCTTTTAGATCTACAAGGAAAGATCGAGCATAAATAAGGAAAGTACTTGAAGAAGATTCAGAAAACGGATGAGTATCATATATGACAAAAACAACCATAAATATCGGATATCTAAAATAAGATTTTTTGTAACCACTGATGTTCAGAAAACAAAAGCAATCGTAGCAAGAGATGTATTCTTTTAAATCAGTTATGGATACTAAGAGAAGTAATAAGTGTGGTAAAAAACGAACAAACATGAAGATACAAGTGGTATACTACCCACATAAGTATCTAGAGATACGAAGCATATTATCAAAGCATCTACGTTCTTTACCTTTTCTAACAGATGGAAGGTTTCACGATAAGAAGACTACAAAGAAGACAACTATTTGTCTATTAGATACGAAAAAATTATATCATTGAAATATGTATTTTTGTTCTTGTTAGTGACACAAAAATAAAAGATCTATGGCCCTGTACCACATAACGGGAAATAAATTTTGTCAATTCAACATATGTTATCAAAAGAAATCGATCCTCGTTTGTTAAGATTTTTAGGATAAGAACTTTATTGTAGAGTAATACCTGAACAACTAACACTCCTAAAAAAAAGTAGAAATTTAACAAGACGAATGTAAGCAATATCAAATAGGAAAGTGTTATTTTGCGTTCCTTCATATCCTACCACAGAATCCATGAGTAAGTCAATCATTATGATACTGTCAATACAGTCTCTCCGGTATCTACTTGTTACATTTATACAACTTGAAATAGCAAATCGAAAAGGAAAATGCCATATTTCTTTGTCACACGATCTAACTATTTAAAGCTAGTGATTGTGCAATGACAGATTATATCCAAGACAAAAATAAAAAACAAAGCTATACAAATATGCTTATGTCTAAAGAGAAGCTCAACAGAGGGAGACAAGTTCTTCCATGGCTGTCCATCGTAGCAGTTCTGCTATAGGTCGATTAATTCGTCATTTGGTAAGCCTACTAATCTTGTTTGTAGCCATTGTGGTGAATCAGGACACTTAAAACAACGATGCTACGAGATCATTGGCTATCCGTATTGGCGGGATTTCTCGAAGAAACCTCGCAAAGTCATTCCAAATAGAGCTATAGTCACGACTACTTCATGAACTAATCATCCAAACAATTATGGTAAAATAGAACCTTGTGTCAACATGACGCAGCCAGTTATTACCGGTAATAACAGTGTTAATGTTAATGTTACTGCACCTTCTACGAATAGTGCTCAGATTATAAATAGTGGAGCATCTGATCACATGACCAAAGACCCAAGCGAAATACAATCATTGAAACCATCTTCTCAACCCTTTATTTCTACCGTTACTAGTGGTACTTCTCCAGTTATCGGAGAAGGACCAGTCGTCTTAACATATGCTTTAAGACTTGACACTGTTTTAGTTGTACCTACTCTATCTGTTAGCCGAGTTACCTCCTCGTACAATTGCACTATAACCTTTTGGCCTCCTTTTTGTAACTTTCAGGACATTCTGACTCGGAGGACTCTTGGTTTTGGTGTTAAGCGACACAATCTCTACTTTCTGGAATTGACTAAAGGCGGAGAGAAGAAATTCAGTCATGCATTCCGCACATATGTGGTTGAGAAAGCACGGGAAAATGTATGGTTATGACATAGAAGGCTCATATATATCTCATTTGGTTATCTTCAAAAACTCAAACCAGATTTGTTTTTAGGTTTAGATAACTCAGTTTTTCATTGTGACATTAATGAATTCTCGAAAATCATTGTGCTCCATATTTATCAAGTTTGAATAAATATTATGAACCTTCTGCTTTTATACATTCGGATATTTGGGGCCTTGCAAAAATTGCAACTCAGTCTCAAGCTTGTTACTTTATTACTTTCATAGATGAATGTACTAGGATGACATGCGTATCATTACTTCAAAAGAAGAGTGATGCGTCTATTGCATTCAAAGATTTTTATAACATGGAACACACTCAAGATCAATGACAAATTTGTGTTTGTCAATCTGACAATACTATTGACGAATACATACGTCATCAAACATCCTACACATACACACCCCAACAGAATGGCCTAGTAGAAAGAAAAAATTATGAAAATTGTCCATGCATCTCTCTTTGGCATGAATATGTCAACTATTCACTGGGGGCGGGGGGGAGCGGTTAAATCTGCGACTTATCTTATTAATCGGGTTGCATCTCGAGTCATTAATTTTGAGACTCTGCAGCAAAAGCTCCATTCTCTTTTTTTCTCTTCCTCATCTACCAAACTTAGAGCCAAGGGTGTTTGGTTGCACAATATATACACACATTCCCAAAGCTCTACGAGGAAAATTGGATCCGTGTGCAAGACGGTGTGTGTTTGTTGGCTTTTAGAATTTCAGAAAGGGTACCGGTGTTATGACCCCCAAAATAAGAGACTATATGTTACTCTTAACACATCTCTCTGTGACTCAAAACCATATTATAAAGGTGGAGTGACACCCTCATCTCTTCGGGTGGGAGAATGAAATAGAAGAGACTAGGATGAATAGAGCTTTAGGGGGAGAAACCTAGTTCTTGGAATTAGTAGCTCACGAGGAAAGATAAAATGCACATATCAACGTCTAGTGGGAAGTTGATCTATCTGACTCGCACAAGGCCAGCCATTGCATATGCTGTAATTGTTGTGAGTCAGTTCATGCAGAACCCAACAGAAGATCATATAGAAGCTGTCTATAAAATTTTGCGATACTTGAAGAGAGTTCCAGGAGAAGGACTATTGTTCTTGAAGAATGAAAAAATGGTCATCGAAGGCTACAAAGATGCAGATTGGGCAGGAGATCTCTTGACCAGGAAATCAACCTCGGGTTATCTCACTTTTTTCGATGGCAATCTTGTCACGTGGAGAAGTAAGAAGCAAAAGGTTGTTGCGAGGTCTAGTGCAGAAGCAAAATTTTGAGGGATGGGTAATGGCTTGTGTGATCTTTTATGGATTAAATATGTTCGGAAGGATCTTGGAATTGAATGTACAGGACCTATGAACTTATTCTGTGATAACAAAGCCGCAATTCAAATAGCACAGAACCTGTTCAACATGATCGAACTAAACATGTTGAAATTTTCGATACATCATTAAGGACAAGTTAGATCAAAAGATTATACATTTTCCCATTTTTCAAGTCTTAAAGTCAGCTGGCAAATGTACTCACCAAGGATATATAAGGGAAGCTCTTCCACGAGATTATTGGCAAGTTGGGCATGATAGACATATATGCACCCGGCTCAAAGAAAAGCCTATCAAAGCAGATTAAAAAAAACGAACATACCAAGTGTAATCCCACGAGTGAGGTGTGGGAGGATAGATAAAGAACTATGTCTGATAGACCCTTAGCTCAAGGAAAACATACCGAAGAAGATCTAAAATGGAAAGATTTACATAACCAAAAAGGGGAAGACAAAAAGATCTTACTTTTTCTATAAAAATTATTTCCGATCGACCCTAGACTTCAAATAAGCATGTAAAAGCAGATCAAGAAAAGGGAAGATTTACAGAACTGATAACAAATCAAAAAAAGATCTTTCTTTTTTCATAAAATTCATATCTCTATAAATTAATTTTCATAAACAAAATTCATGTTAAAGAAGATTACCTTTAAATGTTGGCACAATTGGGGGCAGAACCTGATGATCACAAAGCTAAGCACAGTCAAAGAAAGCTTTTGGTTTTGGATGAATCAACCTACATTGATAATCTTTATCATCTATGTATACAATTATTCAAGCACATACATATATAATCAAGAAAAAAAATAGAAAATTTTGGGCAAAACGATTGATTTCACACCTGCGATTTGTTCTTCCTGCGATTCTAAAGCTTCTTGTACTTGTTACTTCAAAAAAAAAAAATCTTTTAGGGCATTTCATCTACATTTAAGGAGATAAGCATATTAAAATTACTGTAATCTGAAATTTTTTAACAGATAGTATAATACAAACAAAAAGTTCAAAATGTGCTGAGTTGTGCTACCTAAAAAAAACAAAAAATTGTTTTGAGACTTTAAGAGACATGTTGCGGTAAGGGATAAAGTTCGGAGTGATCGAAGTGATGAAAAGCAAAAGCTTCCAAACCTTCCCTTCTTTATTTACTTTTTCGTATATGTAGAGGCCGATTGTTTTCATATTTGATAGCCAAGTGGGGTAAGATACTCTCTAATAAAGACGAACACGAGAGATAAGTTTTAATATATAGTGTTGCATTCATTCATTTCCTTTGTGGACAGGAGATGAGGAATGATCCCAACCATTGCGAGGGAGATTTTCACTAGCATAAATTATAAAACTTGATTAGTATTAGAGCTTTTTAGGTCGCATCGAAGAATATATGTTTTCTTGTTTGAAATAAACTTGATTGAAATTCATTTATTTTAATCAGATGTTTCAAGTTTTTAGAATAGAAAACATCCCGATAAACAGACTTTACACGACCCACTCACTCTTTTGAATAGCTTAAAAATATGATTGCTTGTTAATTCTTTCGATGAAATTATCAAGAACTACGCTGAAAAATAAAGGATTTTGCGACGATTACTTTAATTTGCACCAATAAAATAACTGTCGCTATACTATATTTAATGGCAATAATAAATATAACTAGTACGATCTATAGAAATATCGCTAAAAGGAAAATTTATTGTCACTAAATGTTTCTTTTGGAGTAGAGCTAGCGGACTTCAAATAGATATGCGCAACTTGAAGATCATTAGATTGGGCCTTTGGATTTTAAAGCAACCATGTAGACGTAATATCCCCAATTTCAAACAAGTTATTTCCTAAAACGCGAGTAAAAGTGACTTTATGGCGTAAAAATCACTTATACTAATGGAGTACATAACTTGAGCTTGTAAGAACACAATGTAAAAGAAAAAATTGATATCATCAAGATAACAAATACCATCAAAACTTCCTTTCGCGCACACAACCAAAAGAGTAGCAAAATTCATCTATATTAGATATTTTTCTGAATGAGAAAAAAATTGCAAATTGTAACATCTCGGTAAAATTGCAAATTTTTTCATGTACCGATTCTTCAACGCCCGTTATGGTAGAATATTCATGTGAGACTTTCTCAGCTTCTATCTCACCAATCACTAGGTATGCTCTTTATGATATCCGAATCACCTGAATTGGAGTAAGAGAACGGAAAAGGGGTAAAAATGCCCTTAAACTATGCGAGATTGAACAAAATATCTTTTGTTGTTGTTCGCATCGTTTAAGAGCATTTTTTACCCCTTCTCCGTAAACAAGAAAGTACTCCAGAAATATATCCACATAGAATAAACACTAATAGTCCTACCACATTCAGTCCCCCGATCAACTAGAGGGAGATATATAGTACTAGAACGAAAAATTCACAAGAAAGAATATACCAATCTGATGACGTGATGTGATCATAAATATAGAAAAATATAAGACATCTAGGGTGGCTATTTCTCTCTATTTGTAATCCGATACAAGAATCAACTGGTTCCATCAAACTAGCTATATATATGTTGTGTATTGTCAACGATTTGCACATACGAGGGCAAGATGATATGTTGAGCAGTTACATATCCAGGATCTTCGACACAAACAGACACATCTGAAGTTCATAATGAGTTACTACTCAATAGTATTTCTTTTAAATTATTCTTCAATACCCGTTATGGTAGAATATTCATGTGAGACTTTCTCAGATTTTATATAGGAGGATTTGCAAAGAATAATTTTTTTGTTCAATTGATCTCATGTATCAATGTTTATTTTTTGCTGCATTTCATCTCAATAGACAGTACATCGCTATTAGATACTACACGCTTGTAATGATTCACATGCATATGCTTACCTATAGTTATGAAGTTACAAACATAGACATTTACGCGTATTCACATCCACAGTTCTAGGAATTGATTTATTAAATTCAGCAATTCTATTACATTCCAAATGAAAAAGCGCGCCACATAAAGAGTTATCCAAAAGCTGCGGAAAATTTTGCTTGTATGTGTATGTTGTCAATACATACACAATAATGCCTATCGATATTAAAAAGATAGGCAAACAATCCAGTGCAGATAGCCTAGCAAACTAGACAATATCGATAAGTAACTATATCAAGAACAAAATGAAGTAGCGGCTATAACAGAGGTATTGATCAAAAAATCTGCAAGAAGTATCAATAAAAACCAAATATGTCGAATATCAGTATTCAAAACATGCAACATCAGTACTTAATTATGTTTAGCTTCCACAAAAATAAGAAAAGGCATCAAATGATTAACCAGAAAAAACTAAAAGACCATTGTTTTTCTCAAACTGAGAATGGTTCCTAATTTTCAAGTTTCGCTCAATTTTCTTGAAACAATTGTGAAATAATAATAATAACAACAACAATGTGTCAAAACAAAGCATGTTAATGAAGATCACCGTAAAATGTCAGACACAACTTGGGTCTACGAGAGATAAGTATGCTCTACCTTTTTTTATGAATACAACGTATAGATAGACAATATACCATACATCATCAGTTAGGTAATTTATTTTTTTGGTCGAACAAACACATTTTATTCAAAAACAACCAGAGTATCATTAAAACATCTCATACAACTAGTCTCAAACTGATCAAAAACCTATACAATTCATCTTGTGTAGTTTGATATATTCCCTCTATTGAAGTCCTATCGTTTGCATACAAGTTTGTAAAAATAAAAGTTCCATATTTTCAGGATGATCACCTCATAACGAGCATAAAGTATCCTGGCACATGTGGATGCATAATCTTTTAACTAACATCATACACCAGCAAAACTTTGGTGTGATAATCAAGTTATTCTTCATATTGCTTCGAATTCAGTGTATCATGAAAGAACTAAACATATTAAGGTTGACTGTCATTTCATTCGCGAGAAGATTCTGGAAAATTTGATTTTCACCGGCTATCTGAAGACCGGAGAGCAACTAGCTGGTTTGTTCACAAAAGCACTAAATGGAGCTCGAGTTAGTTATCTATGTAACGAGCTGAGCATGATCAATATCTATGCTCCAGCTTGAGGGATGGTGTTATAAAATGTTGTAGGATATTGTAAAGATATTTACTTACCTTTGATAGAACCTCGAGTTGATTGTATATATACATGTACTTCTTAACATAGTGAAATACAAGTTCTTCTGTTTCCGTATTTCAAATAACACAAAAAGGAATATCTCCTAGATGTATGCTAAAGATTGATATGCAAAAGGCATACGACTCAGTAGAATTGTCCAGTTAGACTTTGCAGCCGATTTCTTTCTCTTTTGTAGAGGCGACAAGATTTCTATCATGAAATTGTATGATTGCTTCATGGAGTTTTGAGCAGCATCTGGCATCGTTGCATATAAAGCTAAAAAGTTGTGCTTACATCGGGAGAACGGACCAAGTTATACAACAATCTGTATTGACCAAGCTGCAGTTCACAAAGGGCACTTTACGTTTCAAATATCTCGGTGTCCCTCTAAGCATCAAAATAATATCTATTCATCTTAACTCTATCCTTGAGCTGTAGCTGTTGATTAGCTTTCTCCGTTATATTTTGTTGTTAGTGATATGTTGGGACTAAGTCTAATAACAAGAGTTGTCTCACTGCTGGTCCCTTGTATGCTCTTAATGATATTCGAATCACCTGAGTTCGATAAAAAGAATGAAAAAGGGTAAAAAATGCAGTTAAACTATGCAAAACAAATGTTCTATGCTGTTGTTCAGTTTTGCATAGTTTAACTGCATTTTTTATCCTTTTCCGTAAAAAGAAAGTACTTCAAACATCAAAAAAGAAATCCTCACTCATTCTACTATTATGATTTATCGATCATACCATTACATTTGTTAGTCAATTAACCTCATCTAGCAATGCTTATTTTTTGTTTCATTTCATGTCACTTCATTCTTAGAAACAATAACAAATAAAATTAAACTGAGGACCTAGTCATTCTGTTGGTGTTTATGCATTGTAATATTAAAATTTAAAACATTAAGTGTATATAGTGGGTATAAATTGACGAGAATGTGTCATCATAGTAGTATAACTCTTTTAACCACTATTGTCGTGATCTACCACTAACTCCACTCATTATCCTACCTCATTATACCTTTTAACTTAAGTAACATTCGGGCTATTCATTTACCTAATTTACTACCTATTATATTCCTGTGCATTGTAAGGAAGAATTCCTCGCCGATAAATAGTGATGGTCTTCCTTTGTTATGGGAGTATATATGTAGATATGAAAAAGTGGAAGAAAAATGAGAAGTGTAAAAAATATTGTAGTGTGTTGTAGTGAAAGAGAGAGTTGAGTAAAAAAAAAGAAAAACTATTCTAAGTCTTCAACTATATTCACTAGTATATAAAAGAGAGTTATTTTATATGTTGAAGGAAGGTGTTCTTATGTAGAGTTTTGGACTCTTCAACTAATCCAGAGTTGCTTGAGTACTTGTACGACGTTGCTGGACTGTTGTATCCTAGAGGAAACAAGCCAAGAATAATACTGCTGAAAATAAAATGACAAAAATGAACAAACACATCTTTAGGCTTTGAGACGCGGATATCTCGCTCTCGTTAAGAGATTCAAGCCCACTGTTGCAACCATGGTGGTGGCTGGCCTGGTGGAATGGATTCAAAGAAACAAATGCAGTCAACGGTGATAATGGAGGAAGTTTTCCCCTATATCTACTACTATAACATACGCAGTATAGTCGCAGTGTTGCTCCTGTAGTTTCTTGTTCTTCGATTTTTGTTACTATTTGTTAATACTGTGTACCTCGATTATCATAGTATTTTGATGTAGTTTATGTCATGTGTTACTATCTGCTGTTATTGTTATGTTCTGTTTTTCTTGTACTTCCGTTACATTTTTTTATGGATTGCTTTGGACTATTTTTTCCTTAAGCCAAGGGTCTGAAACAACTGCTCGACTTCTGAGGTAGGGGTAAGGTTTGCATACACCAGTAATTCATCTCTTCATCGTTACGAGATATTCTTTTGAAACATAAATCTCAACAAATGCCCTAAAGCATTCAATAAATCTTCTGCATTAGTTCATGGCAGCTTTGGTTTTAGATATTATATTGCTGTTTGATTCTCATTCGAGATATCTTTTCACTTCGGTGTTGATAACCAAGTGATCTCTGTCCTATATCCATACAGATTCCCAATGCCTTGGAAAAATAGTCGAGATGGATGGCTGCACCTTTTTTGCCTCTTCCTTATCTATAGGACAATCTTCTCTTACGGCCTTCACCTTCTGCACCAGAAAACTAGACTGCAGAGAATGTAGACAGAGATAGAAGGGAAAAGAAGTGAACATTTAAGAACTATCTTTGCCAAATGATTATTTAGCTATCAGATGATGAAATGCTTTTATTAGCAACTTCAACGCGGTCTTTTCTTGTGATGCTATTGTTTTGTTGTTAGGTGATGGAGGTAAAAGCTTGCAGTCAGAAAAGAGAAAAGAACTTTTAGTGATCGTCACTCGAAACAAAGCCTCTTCAGCATTGCCCTTGGATGTTGAAAAAGTGGACTTTACAATGCTTGCGGTTGCTTTGCTATTGAGTTGTTATCCGAGCAGACTTAACCTGCAATCAACAAGTGAAATGGTTACAGTTTTATGGATGGTTTGATGTATACGAAGAATTCGAGTTAGTCTACTTCTCATGGAAGCAATCCTATCCATAGCCAGTTAAAAGAAGTAGAAGCCTACAAATTTGATCGAAAAATCCTCTGGAACTCAAAAGTTGGAAGCTAGCACAAAGGATATATACACACAATGATCAAACTTGTAGAATTGTGGATTTGAAAGTTTGTGATCAGATATATCATCAATTGACTCTAGTTTGAGGTAGGCATTATGATATACACACGACGTTCAATATACTCTTCTTCTCACTTTATTCCTCTTCCTCGCGTAACAGATTCAACATCTCGGAGCTCACTTGCTCCTTCATGTGATGAATATTGAGATCTTCTACTTATCGGAGCCACGTTGAAGGCATCATCTCAGCACCCCCTTTCTTTTCTAGTGTAATGAAGCTCTAAATAGATGTCTGTGGACCTGGTTCTGCTGCATTTAGAGATAAAGAGAAGATGTAATACTTCACTCTCAGCCATTTTAAGTACAAAAACTAGAAAAAAGTGTTGATTTTGTTTTTGTCGCAGATCGACAAAGGAAAAACTGAATATCAGTGTTGTCACTCCTACTAATGGCTCAACATATTGCACCTTGACATGCTTTTGATTACCTTTTGAAGAAAGATCAAAGGGAAAAGGGTCTGATATACCCCTCAACTTTGTCATTTGGAGCTAATATACCCTCGTTATAAAAGTGGCTCATATATGCCCTTATCGTTATACAAACGGCTCATATATACCCCTGTCGTTACAAAATGGCTCGCATATACTCTTCATTTAACGGAAGTTAAAAAATTAGTTTTAAATTTATATTTATTACTTCTATTTTTTTTAAAAAAATTATTTAGGGGTATATATGATTTTCTATCAAAGTTTAAGGTATATTTTAATTTTTTTTCATACATAAATTATTTTGTGACTTCTTTTATTATAATCATTTGAGTTTCTTATTCTTATTTTGTTTTTTTCTTTCATTCCTTAGTTTAAAGAGAAAAAAATTAAACTATTTTTTTTGTGTGTATTGTAATTTAATTTCGTATTCGAAAAAAAATTTGATCATCTACAATAAATATTACAAGAATATTAGTGAAACATAATTAAATTTGATTATCAAAATAATAATTATAAATTAGTCATTGAAACAAAAAAAAGTCAAAAAAATATGTCTGACGAGGATTAAATTTACTCATATGGGATTATATTTTTTAGAAAAAAATAATAAAAATTTAGATTAAAATTATATTTTTCATTTCCGTTAGAGGAAAGGGGTATATGTGAGTCATTTGTTTACAAGTAAGGGTATATATGAACCACTTTCATAACAAGGGGTATATCAGCTCTAAATGACAAAGTTGAGGGGTATATCAGACCCTTTTCCCAAAATCAAATACTGAGACAAGAAAATAGAATGAGCCAACTTCGAAAGGAGCAAAAACTGACTAATGTGGAGATACAGGACATGACGGGAATTAATCTACAACTTCGGGTACTTGAGGGGATTAAGGGTTCTGTGATAGTTCTTTTCTTTTTCTTTTCATCTTTTATTGTTTCTGGTTTGTTAATCTGAATACAGGATATAACAACTATGACGGGTTTCACAGAAGTAAGACAGTTTCTGGGTAAAATGGGTGCATGGAGTGTACATAAAGCAACAGAGGAATATCTGGGATCACTGATATTAAGTTTAGAGACAAGTGAAATGGTTACATGTTTTATTGAACACTTGATTTATATGATGAATTCGAATCAGTCTACTTCTCAAAAATTTGGCTTATTGAGTTTGAAACATATTACTAGGTGTTTATCTAGTAATTTTTAACACATATTGTGTTTTGAGTGAAAACTGAGTTATTATACTATGTTGCAGGGTCGTTTTTTGTTTTCAAAAAAATTGGTACTCCCTTTGTCCCAATTTAAAGAAAGACTTGTTTGAATCTCGAAATCTGAAAGATACTGATAGCACCCTCACCCCGCAGGTGTTGGCTAGTAAATTACTCTTTGTTCCCATTTATCCACCAATTTGGTATACAACGCCTCAAAGCACTAGATATGTTTTATGATCAGGTAGCCATAAGAATACAGAAATAAACAAAGAGCATGCAAGAACTCGAATTGCTAAAGTTTTTTTATTGAAAAATTCAACCAAAATCAACCTTTGAAGATAGACATAATCCTGCTCTCTGCAGCAGATTAAGAGAAAATAAAGAAGAGCAATATCGTCTAGTATAATGGAACAAGTCTTCAAAAAAACAGATGCAGTATCAAGATTAATAGTCATCTGGTTGTGACCAACTAATATCAACATAAACAGCTTCCACGCCACGAAATCAGAACATTTGATCTATGAACAGGTCATCGGTATCAAAAATGCCTTCATCATCAACAGTGGTGTTAGATGAGGGGGTGAAGGGAGGTAAATAAGGAGGAGCCGCCTCTACAACTGCATAACGGGAAGCTGGTGTTTTCTCATCATCAAAAATGGAACTAATAGCGTTGTCTACATCCATGGGCTCAGCGAGTAATGCTTCTAGTTCACTCCCAATTCTAGTGATGGCATGACTGTAAGTTCCACTGCTAGCAGCAGTAGCGTCCTCCAGCTCCGTCATTAGGTCATCAATGTCTGAAAAGAACTCAACATTTACATCAGGAATCAGACTATTTATTACATCGATAAATGCAGCATTATGGCCTGAGGACTCACCTTCAGCAACTGTTGTCATCTGCTGCTCAGCATTGGTACTTTCTTGAGGCGACATGTTTGGCACTACTTGTGATCCTCCACAAGCTGGCCCAATCATATCCTCGGTTTTTGGAACTTGGGAAGTTCCAGCAGCTTCAGCATCTGCACTAGTAATATCAAGAATGCTTGCTCTTCTCTCCCCTTTGTTGGCGGCTTCGAGGCGCTTGAAAAATTTCTGTGCATGGCTAGCCACCTGCATTCCTGTTCTTGTAATCACACAGTGCCGAGATATACTTCTCCAGTCACCTCTTCCATATATATCTAGGCCCCGGAGAAATGACCTATTGCAGGAAAGATAGAGAAATAAGTTATTATCAGGCAGCAAAGTTTTACTTTCTCTTAATCAGCTAACCACACACTACATATTATAAAGCCCAGAGGCAAATAGGTATGATTCCATAGACATGTTTATTCAGTATGCACTGTGTAAAATCACAGACAACACCCCCACCCCCACCCCAAGAATAAAATCACCATTCATTTTGTTCCTTTCACAAAAAGAGGAAGGGACCTAAATTCATGGGATAACAAATGTCCTTTGGATATGTGACTCCCAACACTTGCTAAATTTTCCATTGCCACTCTTTTTCGCCTCGTTGGTATATGCACTCACTTCAACTATATGTGCTGTGTTTTCAATGCTAATCGTTTCAACTATACTTAGCTTCTCTAACAGATAGGATATAAAACAGAAAGTGAGATAGATCAAGAAAACAAGAAGAAGAATACTACAGGAAACCTACCTGTGTTCCTCTTCTGTCCAAGGAGTCCCTCTTCGCCATTTGGCGTCTGCTTTCAAATTTTGGTTGGCATTGCTTTGCATTTCCAGATAATTCAGTAATGGAACACATCCAGAATCGATGGCATTGATATCTTCTAAGAGTATATTATAGTGATCCTTGATGTCCTGAAGTGATTTTTGAGGAAGTGCTTCTTCCATCATCCTCAATAGATTGTTATTGTTAAAGTAGATCGCTAGGGTATTCTCAAAGATTTTATCCTCCTCCCTAGTCCAGAAGGAGCTATTGCATGTCTTATTGGTGCTCATTTTCTTTTAGATCTACAAGGGAAGGCTCAAGCATGAAAAAGGGAAGATCGTATTCAGAAAACCGATGAGTGTCAATATATGACAAACAACCATAATTACCAAGCATCTATAATAAGATTTTTTTGTAACCCCTGACAATTAGTAAACATAAACAATCGCAGCAAGACATGTATTCTTTTAAATCAGTTATGAATACTAAGAGAAGTAATATGTGACCGGAAAAACGAGCAAACATGAAGATACAAGTGGTATACTACCCAAAGAAGTCCCCACGAAGCATTTTATGAAAGCATCATAATTCTTTACCTTTTCGATCGGATGGAAGGTTTTATAATAAGAAAGATGAATACAAAGAAGAAAACTATTTGTCTCAAGATAAGAAAAAATTATACCACTGAAGTACATATTTTTGTTCTTATTAGTGACGCAAAAAATGGCCTTATACCACATAACGGGAAAGAAATTCTGTCAATCCAACATATATTATCAAAAGAAAAGGAAAACCCCACATTGTCTTGTGACACAATCTAACCACTTAAAACTAGGGAACATGCAAAGACAAATTGTATTATATCCAGGACAAGAAATCAAAAGGAAAGCTAAAAAATTCTTATTTTTCCTTTTTGGGAAACACGCAAATCTCTACACATAAACTTTCAACTAAAAGCATGTTAAAAAGGAGACCCCGGAAAATGCTGACACAATTTTTCCCTCATGAGATAGAAACAAGATGAATCTCATGACATACGAGTAGGTGAGTATCACTCTTCAGAATCTACCCCAAAACCAATATATAATCAACCATCTGTGATTGTATGCACATTTTCTTTTGTCGTTATTACCTTTATACATCATGAAATAGAAAATTATTGTTCATTTTGAATGGAATATTTACGGAACCAACAACAACAAATACCGACGTAATCCCACAAGTCAGGTTTGGAAGATTTACCTTTGTGCATAGACCTTACCCCTACCTTGAGAGGCAGAGAAGCAATTTCCGCTACACACTCCGCTCAACGAAAACATATCAAAGCAGATTGAATAAGGGAAGATTTTCAAAACCAACAAAATACCACAATGAAATTCCACAACTAAGATCTAGGGAGGATAGAGCGTATATAGACCTTACCTCTACCTTAAGGGGTTGAGAGGCCGTTTTTAATTGACATTCGACTCAAGGAAAAGCATATTAAAGCAGATCGAAAAAGGAAAGATTTACAAAAGCATGACAAAAATCGAATATGGAAAGCCATGAAAGATCTTACTTCAAAGAAATAATTATATCTCTAAAAGTTAACTTTCATAAACACAAAGCATGTTAAAGAAGAGTACCAAAAAAACGTCAGCGCAACTGGCAGAACCTAATGATCACAAACCACAATCAAAGCAAACTTCTGAGTGATCGATCTATAGTGATAAGTTGTATAACCTATGAAATAATGCATTCAACCATAAGGAAATCTCACACACACATATATATACTCCCTATGTTTCAAAAAGAATGACCTAGTTTCCTTTTTAGTCTGTTTCAAAAAGAATGACCCCTTTCCTTTTTTGGCAATACTTTAACTTCAACTTTCCACGTGGCATGTTTAAGGCCACAAGATTAAAGGGCATTTTGGTACATTTGACATAACTTTAAATTAAAACCACAAGATTAAAAACTCTTCTTTCTTTTCTTATACTCCATTTCAAGTCAAACTAGGACATTCTTTTTGAAACGGAGGGAGTATTTTCTAGTGTTTGGTAAGTAAGCAAGAAAATATCATCTCAAGAGCATCTATATATCATCTGGCAAAATACTATGGAGGCAGGATGCAACGGGAAGTGGGGGTTCGGGGGTCGGGGATGGTCAAGGGGTAGGAGTTGGACGGATTGGGTGGGTGGGTGGGCGGAGACATTAAACTTGGAAGTCACTTATCCAATTTGTTTTCTCTACTTCCATTAAGGAAGTCATTTTCCTTACTTTTGAAGAACTAGTTTTCCTAGAGAAAATAGTTTCCAAACATATTGACCAACCAAACATAGGAAAATGTTTTCCTCCACAGTAACCCAAAGACAACTTCCAGAAAATATATAATTGCAAAAGGAGAAAATTCCACTAAAAGATTTACAAGAAAACACAACTACCAGATAAACAAGCAAAGCAATAATTACCTCAAGTGGCGCGAATGTTTCCATTAAATGGACTCAAAACAGAAAAACTGCAAAAGAAGTTCATCAGTATCTGGATTCTGGAAGCAACAAGTAATGTTTGATAAACTGAGAAGCAATTCGAACTCTCTTTCCTGAGGCAATATCTAGCCAATTGTGTGTTTTTTCATTATAAGCTTAGTGTCTTTTGAAAAGGAGAGGAGCATCATCAGTATCAAATTAGTCTGAACCAAGAGATCAATAACAATCAACTGAAAAAGATTGCTTTTTTTTTGTAACCGAGAAATCCGTCTGTGACCAGCCCTTTGGACCAATCACAGTAAAATCTTCCTCAAATCCAAGAAGTGTAATTAAACCCCTTGCTCTTTCACTATTCAGAAGGTTCATCATGGTTAGACATATTATAAGTGATGATATTAAAATGGAAAGGAAACAACAATGAAGGCATCAGAATAGAAGGATATTCATCTCAGCTTCATGGCTTGTTAGCATAAATTCAAATGGAGAAATTTTAAATGCTAAACTTCTAAAGATAAATGAAGAATAGTAAAAGACAGCTACGCAAAATTAACCAGAATTAGTTAGATAATATATTTTAACATGTAACAATTCTCTAAGGATATTTTACCAGACACATTATACACTCAAAAAATGAGCACCACCATTAAATTCTTCATCGATCTAAAGGATATAACACATCCTCGATTTCATCAACTTTCTGTAGTCTAACTCGTCAAGAACAAGGTTTTTATTGACCCAAACCAACAGAAGTACCCTATGAAAGTAGGTTCTTTTACTTTAATTTCTCCCAGAATCTTCTGGCTGTGTTCACAATAACATAAGTGGCAGGAATGATTTCAATTTGATAGAAATAACAACAGCTTCCCTTTTGAGTTTCTTTTTTCCTTTTTTAAGGGGCGGCAAACAACCAAAGAATAGGCTTAGATATCTATCTTGGAGTACCAGTATGGAGATCTAGCAAAATCAGAATGCAGCATTACAAGAACAGGTTAAAACCAAATCAAATGACATAGAACCTGAAACCACTAAAAAGCACATTCATACACACTTTGAAAGAAAAAACTCTGTACAATTTGAGCAGAATAAAATGAAGCCAAGGGAATAAAGATTCAGCAACATGGTATATACTATAAATAACTGTGACTTTCTAATATGCGAATATAAATAAACCTTAGAGGAAGAAAGGAGAAAGGTGGGGGATCAGGGAGTAGAAATAAGTATGGGACTCCACAGCCTCACACACATCAAGTGTTAAGCATTAGGACAAATTTAGAAAACGTAAATAAGATATCGCCCGCAAATACTCCTTATCACATACGATAAAAGATAAAAGCAGAGATGTTAACTCACCTAAATGTGAATATGGTGGAGCTAACAAGAGAAACTCTTTGCCTGAAATCAAAGTAAATGGCAGACGAGAAAAGGGAGCGGGTAGGAAATATTTAATAACATACAAATTACAGTAATCAAGATTCATGAATAGTAAAAACTTAACTAGAGATAAAAACAATTCTTATTTTTATTTTTTTAGAGGAAGAAAACGTAAATAACATATATTCGAGACATCACCAGCCAGATGGTAAAAGTGCAATTACAGATTTTTCTATTCAAATTGTACGCCAAAAACAACTGATAAACCACAGAACAGTTAAAAAACAACAAATCAACTCATTATCCCTGGAGATTGGATCCACCTCATCTCCTAGACCTTTGCTTCGCCTTCGAGTCAAAATGGTGAGCTCTAAGCTTTTTCTTTTTCGTAAAAGTTGTCTGTCCACCAGAACCTTCTCTAAATGGCATACCCATGAGAGCCAACAATCTGTGTGCCTCTTTATCTGTCTCAGCTGTTGTTGTTATGCAAACATCCATCCCTCTTGGCTTACCAAGAGCATCATAACTTAACTCTGGGAAGACACTCTGTTCACGAAAGCCAATGCTATAATTTCCATGACCATCAAAGCTATTGGGGTTTACGCCTTGAAAGTCCCTCGTTCGAGGAAGCCCCAAATTAATTAACCGGTCAAGGAACGAATACATTACATTCCCTCGAAGTGTAACAGCAATTCCAAGCGGTTGACCTTCTCTAATTTTGAAAGTAGCAATAGCATTCTTAGCCCTAGTCTTCACAGGCCTTTGCCCTGTAATTAAGGCCAAATCATTCATTGCTGCATCCAAACCCTTGGAATTTTGTGCAGCATCTCCTATACCACAATTTACCACAATCTTTTCGACCTTCGGAACCTAAAACACGGTTTTTCCACATTCCGTATCAAATCAAATTAAAACTAAAAAATAATAATAGAGTTTGAAGCAATAGGTCAATGCAACTAATATTCACTGTGATTTCTCACTCCTCAAATGATAATAGTGTCAAACAAACTAATTTCTCAGCATTTCAACTCTAAAATTCAACATTTAATCAAACAAACAAGAAACAGTTCAAATTTGTAGATATAAGTTGTAAAATTTGAAGCTAAAGAAGTACATATGCTTTGAAATTGAAATTAACTTGAAAAGTATAATTGAAAATTGAATTTGTGTTTGAACCTGCACTAAGCTTTTTTTAAAACTGAAAAATTTGTTCAATTCCCCCATTTTCCCTTTCCCAAGCCCTAATTTTTATCTGTTCTGGAAAAAAAATGCAATGGACAAACGACTCCTAAGTTTACCTGAAGAATATTGGTGTAACTGAATTCTTCCTTCAACAACGGCACAATCTTTTCGAGGTAATTTGTTTTCAGACGATTAACTTTTTCAGCTTCACTTTTATCCACTAGTACTGTTGCTGAAGCTTTCACCGTCAATTTATTGGACGACCGGACCTTGGTATTTCCGACCGGCAATCGAACGGAGTACGCCGGAAACTCAGCATTGTAGAAAGAGGAGGCCGTGGAGTGTAGAAGAAGAGGAGAAGCCGCCATTTTCTCTGAGCTTTTTCTCTCTGTGTGTGAAAAATAAAAGGGTAATTGGATAAGATGTTCTTTGTGGATATAACAGAGTTCTCTCTACTAAATTTTAATTTGTGAATGTTTAAGTAAAAAAAATTCGGATCCATTTCGCCATAGATTTTTCAAGTAAAATTTTTTACGTGAACATCAAAATAATGATGTAATATTCAGTAAATAAGAAAATGACGATATGATTATTGATAAAAGTGACGAACAATATGTTTCGTCTACTTCATAATGTATGGAATGATGCTTGTTGCACTATCTCTGAATTACCATATTGCTTCAGTGCCATGGACACTAATTGTTACGATAGTGAATCTTTTTATTCTATTTTGTTATGCAATACAAACTTATAGTTAGTTTTGATAACTTTTAAAACTTATTAGTATACATTTCTTAAAAAAAGTGAAATATGTTTCCAAAAATTAAGCCAAACATATGATGAAATTTATGGTTAAATGTTAGCTTAAGTTTTGGGCTAAAAATTATTGAATGAAGATAGTATTAAATCAGGAAAATTGTATATAATAGCAAACTGTTAATTTAAATTAAATGTTATAAATATACTTTGATTTAATTGTACCCTATAGCAAACTATTGCTATTTCCGCCACTCTCCCTGGTGGAATCTCGCTCGCCACTCTCGTTTTGTGACAGTCTCACTCACCTCTCTCGTTTTTTATACAAACACAATTGTATAAAATGTGTTTGCGTTTGTATAAAGTGAGAGAAAATTGTATAGATACATATAGTTTTGTTCACCTATCTCAAATCTCACTCACCACTCTCCCGAATCTCCCTCGCCTCTCTCGCTTATACAAACAGAAACGAAATGTATAAATTGCATTTCTGTTTGTATAAAGCGAGAGAAAATTGTATATACACATGTAAATACATATATCTTCGTCCTATACACTTGTAATTATACAAAATAAATATTCTCCTGCTCAGTTTTCTTTTGTCTTTCTCTTTTTCTCGTTTTATACATACACAAATGGCAGATTATACAATTTATCTTTTGTATACAACTGCTTTCTTTTGTATATGTATAGTGAATTATACAACTGCTTTCTTTGTATATGTATATAGGGAATTATGCATATTTATATTTGTCACCGAGCGCAAGTATACAAACTTTGCTATATCATACAAATATAAATTTTGTATTTGTTATATATGAAAGTTACTATATCAAATTTTATTGGCCCAACAAAAATTTTTACCAAGAAAATATTGGGGTCTATTAGACTGGAATGAGGTAGGCCCAAGTCTAAATTGGTTTGTGGGCTGGATAATTTTTTGAAAATTTAACGTCGTAGTGGCCCATTTCATTAAATAAACCTAATCTTTATTATTTAGCCAGTTTGTTCACTGGCATGTCTTTGTTTACATTTATAGCCTAATTTCGCTCATTTCTTCTATACTTGTATTTACTTAGATTATTTGAA